GCCAGCCATGTGTGAAGGGTGGCCAAGGGGGACACAGCGCCATGGGCAGGAGGGAGTTCATGGGGGATCAGGAGGGAAGCAGTGACACCATGGCTCAGGACTGTGCTTCAGAACAGCTCTGTGCAGGTTTGCTGGTTCCAGCACAGCTACTGGTGCATAAATCAACTGGGAATACCAACTTCTTTGGCAGTATGAAAGTCCTCAAGAGGCAAATATTAAAAGTCACTTAATGTGTGTACTGATCTCTGCTTTGGCTCCCCGATTTGTAATTTTTTCTTGTTCAAACTGATGGATGAACTGAATGTTTTTAATTATTTCCAGGCTATGCCCTTCAGAATTGCATTGCTTTCCCTGCATACAGTACTTCTGTCCAGAGACTCCCTTGCTTCATTAAGATGGAAAGTCATTTCAGTTACAAAAAGCCAGAGTAATCGCGTTTTAATCAAGTGAAGTGCACACAAGCTGCTGCCATCCCAAGCACCCCCTGACACAGATGCAGCAGCACAAGGGTGCATTGCATGCTGCCTGTGGGATGGAGGAACCCCAGATTCCCTGCTTTGGAAATGACACCCACAGTTTCACCCAGATCCAATGTCTGCATCTCTGAAGCTGGCTTGGACAGGAAAAAAAACACAAGAACAATGGAAAGCAATGGTGTGTTAGCACAGGAGAGGGGGAAATGAGGCTCTCTTTCTGGGAAGTGTTCTACTTCACCACAACTGCTTAAGAATAAGCCATCAGTCAGAGTCCAAAATTCCTCAAATAATATTGAAACTATTAGAACTTGTATGCTTGACAATGGTAGGATTTAAACAAAAAGCTCAGAATTCAGGACAAATGTGTTACCTGAGTTACAAAGGAACTCACACATGAAAGAAAGCTCAAAGAGACTAAAAAACCCCAAACCTCACCAGCTTGCAGAACTTCTTAAGTCTTCCAAAAATAGGGGCGGGAGGGGGAAAGAAGCTCTTTACTCAAAGAGCCAAGATTAGCTACTTAGAGCTCCCAAGGCCTGGTTTGGAGACTGCCCCAGAAACATTCCACCATTTCCCCCAGTGCAAAGGAAATCAGCACCAAACCTGTCTGCCAAGGGCTGGACATGTCCCTTTTACCCCCAGCACCCCCAGGCAGGAATTGCCATGTGTGGGAAGTGACACCACGCACTTGCAGCCTCGCTGGGGACTCAGAGAGATAAGATTACTTAAATTCACTGCACAGGTTGGCTTCTTTCCTGATGTACAATTTAAAATGTGCTGCTGCTTTGCTAAGCCTTCTTTACTTGGCCTCATTAATTCCATCTGTACTAAAATGAGATGTTGTGTGTAGCTTAGATGGAACTTTGAAAACATTTTTCCAAATCAAATTGTAAGTTTATGTTAGAAAAAGGATTTATAGCACATAGTTAAAACAGGCACACATATAAAGTCTGTTCTAATTAGACCTTAATTTTTGCAGAAAATGCTTTTATTTTAGAGGTTTATATATTTCAACAGTTTTCCAGATGTGTATACTACATCTATATTTTTAATAGATGTAAAACCAAATAATTTATTATGGTAGCAATCTTTAACTAAATTTCTTTACTGAGTCATTTAATTCAAAGATACAAACACCTGGACACCAGAGTAAGTTAGGATCAGATTTGGGCAGGTGTTTTATACCCTACAAGCTGAGTTAAGTTTAAATTAAAAAAAAAAAAAAAGATAAAAACGATCCTTATTTTCTGATAGTATTTTTGGGAGAATCTTCCAGCTAAATTTTTCTCATGTTTATCAGATTTTTGAGAACTACTCTATTAATCATTCTGCAATTAAGTACACATTGCTGTCTCTGAGAAAAGACCTAAGACTGGGGCGTATTTGGATAGGACACTTGACACAGATGTTCCTGAAATGCCATAAGATCCATTGCAGAGTAAATTTCACAAATCTATTTGAATGGAGCAAACAAGAGCACTCTGTGCACAGAAGCCCTGTAAGGGATGAGTTGCAGATGCAGACTTGAAGTTATCATTTTTATTAAAAAATACTTCAGCTGTAGTTGAGTCTCAAACCAGAGCAAAACACCAGAGGCAAACCGAAATTAGGTCTTGAAGCAGAGACAGAGGAGAAGGCAGAATGATAAAACTATACAGTAGTACACAAGGAAGATGAAAGCCATTTTATTGTGTTGCTAGTCGCATTTGGAAAAGAAAATAAAGAATAGCTCACAGTGGGTTTCACTGTGTGGTAGGACCGGATAGAACACAGGCCAGGCTCAAGCCTGGAAAATCATGGTCCCACAAGTGGAAAAGAACGCCATGAAAACCAACATAAACAATGTGTACATAGAGAATGAGTCTGTCTCTGCTATTCCCTCTGTGTTTGGGCACAGTGAGGTGTTGGCCTCATCGCATCTGGCACCTAAGAGTTATTGATCACTGCCTTCAACTGCATGTACCAGACACCAGTGGTTTATTTATGACCAAAAATATTACCCTTTTGGCAATCATGTCAAAGACCTGGTAAAAAATATGGATAGTAAAGGTGAAACATAACAATAAATTTAGATTTTGATTAGTGTAATAGATTTGTGCAATATAACTTCCCTGACTTCACTGCACTTAAGACGTTTTTATCATGTAGATTTAAATCTAAAGTGACAGATTGTATCATGAGAAAGACAACTAAAAGAAGCCAAATTTAGATGTCACAAATTCAGAAAACATCAAAGAGATTGGCAAGTGCTTCACCAAACATTTATATTAAGCAGGAATTATTGTTCTGATTACATATTAAAGCCAGTAAATGAATAACCATCTTTTTAAATGGTTACTCATCTCCTCCTGGCATTTATTATTCATTTTTCAAAGCAAAGCATATCAGTACAAAATATTAATCTCTCAAATAAGTTATCTTTATTAAATACTACTTCGAAAACACAATCATAACCACAAAATAGTTAGGTCTCATACCTGCTGTTTGCACTTTTGTGGGGTTTTATTAATAATTATTAGTTGTGGCACCAAGTTTAAGAGGTAATTACAGAAAGTGTGTGGGTTTGCTACAAGGTACCAGCGCTTGCTTTAAGTCAGAGCAAATGATCACAACTGAAGAAAACTAACCCAAAGTTACATTATAATGGACCCAACAAATGCTCAGTATTTGTAACTGATTCCATCTGAAGTACTTCCCTAGTTTTTTGATAAGTGATCAAAAGTCTTTCCTCACCTATTTAAGTTTTCAACTGTAAAAAGCTCAAAATACTTTTGGAAAGGGAACACATCCCCATTTTGTAAGTAACTACTCCAAGTAGCTGTATTAATGTTGCCTTAGAGCAAAGGCCAAGCAGCTCAAACAGCTTAAAATTAGGCCCTTAGGGTTAGCAAAAAAGAAGCAGCTACATTTACTGACAAATACAACATTTTCATGGTATAAACAGATCAGCATGCTTTACTATCAGTTGTTTCAAAGTGCTGGTGCTCAGGTTTTGCTGGGGTTTTTGGACAGCAGGTTCCTTCCCTGCCTTGCTCTGTAACACATTATACAGGAGTAGAATAAAAGTGGTTCTTTAGCTGATTGCATCAGGAACTGGAGAACAGCTCAGGAGCATCTCCTAAAGCCTGGTACAGCACAATCAGCCTCAGGTCTCCAGAACACACACAGGAATGCTACACAGAAATGCTACAAGCTCTATTTCTCTTTAGTAGACACCTTCTGACTTTAATTTGCAGCTGAACATTTTTGAGAAGCAGCTAGGAGAAGCCTTAAGACTCCTTCTGTAAGGTGTCTAGAGCTTATTTGTGATGAAGTAAAAACAATATGCTTGTAATAGGCACAGAATCACAATATCCCACACAACCTTGAGTTCATTGCTAACAAATTGCAGAAGTGCAGTTAAAGCTCCAACATAAGCCAAAAGCATCGTGAACACTCTTAGAGGAGCTCTTGGAGTACAGAAATAATCAGAGCAATTTTATTTAGACTCTACTATGAAAATTTGTAGATCTGATTTCAAAAATAAAGCATGACTGATCATCTAGGCTGGACTTGCTACCTTCACTGAAGCAAGTCACAATGTGAACTATCATGCAAGGTGTTTCTGAGAGCTTTCCTGATGCTATGAAAATCAACCTGATGGGGCTGACTGAGCCTTCACTTAATGCTGTGCAAGACCTTTAGCTGTAATTGTCCTTGTCCAAAAGGCTGTGGATTCATCATGCAGACTTATTAAACTGAAGTCTTCAAGCAACATTGACAGTGATGACAACAGTTCTAGCAGTTGAAAAGCCCCAAACAAATGTCATAATTCAGTAGTGTTTCCATTATCCATTTCTGTATTATTAAGTTATACCTAACAAAGGTTATGGTCATGAAAGAAACTCTACACATCAGCTGAAGCTGCCATCTCGGATTTTCACATCTTTATTATTCTATTTTCAGGTAAATATCACTGTAGAAGTCAGAAGATTAGAGAAAATATGATTCTGTGTTGTTTGCCTCTCCAAAAGTGTGCAAATATTACTTCACTTACACATGACTCCACTGCATGTTGCCTTTACAGCAGAGTACTCATGCAAGCTGTTATTAGGGTTAATTCTGCCCTATCAAAGGTTCCAGGGTACAAGCCATACAGGTTTGATAAATACACACAGGACAGCTTTTTTTTTTTTTTTGTTTTAGATCTCTAAGCTGAATCACAACCTTCAGCTGATTCTTGTTCTGCTACTGGCCTTTTAACTGAGGTTAAGCAATCACTTTTGTTCCAGTTTTGTTCATCTCAGTTTCCCCATTTGTAAAAGGGTGAAAGTCGTAGAGTCTTTCACTCCATTTCACAATTTTTATGACATCTATACATAAAGAGGCATTTCAAGGATTATTGTTACTATGAAATATACATTAATTATGATTCACCATTGGTCTATTTGTCATTGCTTTAACAACACTGGCTGTATCGGTCTAGAAGAAGAAACTGATGTTTTTTATTTCTAAATAATTACTTTACTTTCTTTCTTTGTTTAGGGATAAAATATAACATGGGATTCCAGCAACCAAAAAAAGTAAGTTTTCAGAAGTACATGAATAAAATTGTACCCATATTCTGAGTATGGAGTACAGATAGAGATGGCTCAGATAAGGCCACTACACCAGAGATGGAGCACTGGAAAAGGAAAGATGCATCAAAAACTTAGCCATGAAAATGCAAATTTCCCTGTTAAAATAGGAATTTGATAAGCTATGCAACTTCAGTTTTATGAGGTTTTTTCCTAGACTGGATATTGCTAAAAGATACTGTAAACCTTGCATATATTAATATCTGTATGAAATCTCACTGTTCAAATGAAGGCCTTTAGAGGTACTTAAAAACAGGCTCAAGAAAAATTCTGGTGAAATTCCCCCATCTAGTGGCAGCCAGGCTGCCTCTCGCCCACAGTTAAAGAACAAAAGCAAACTGTGCAGAGGAGCAGCCGTGCCCAGCCGTGCCCAGCCGTGCCCAGGTGCCATCCCCTGCTCAGGCAGGTGACAGGGATTGACAGCTCCTCTGCAGCTCCTGCCCGACCTTCTGCATCGAGGGTTGCACTGACAGAAGGCATTCAAGTTGCCCAAAAGCTCCAGGGTCATCATCAGCATCATTAAAGGTGCAGAATTGTAGGAAGCCTGAATTTGATAACCTTTAAATATCAGCCATGTCATGAGTAAATAGGATTGAATTACAGCCAGTCTTGTAAAGGGTAATACTTAGAAATACATCTGGTATTTACAAAGACAAACTCATTTCTGACTACAGAAACAACCTCTGAAGGTGAGAGTACAACAATCACTCCCAACAGCTGAATAGTGTTTTGCATAACAAATTATCAGTTGGTTTCCCAGGCTGCACACCACCTTTGCTACCAGAGCATCCAACCTGAATTCTGCAACTGCCCTAAAACTTGTGTTTAATACTGATCTGTTGTATTCAAGTTTTGTATGGTAATTCTCAATATAAGCAAGTCACCTACAAAATACATTTTGATTTTTTTGGGGTTTTTGTCACCAATGTTTTTTATAATGAATCCTGAATTTCTTTTCTGAGACTTTTTTATTCTCTGACCTTTAACAAGAATGTGACAAGATAAAACCTCCATGACAGAACAAGTTTGTCACCTATTGCATTGCTTTTTTTCAGACAACAAAGACTTGTAAAATTGATTAAGATCTAATCTTAAAGAGGACCCTGAAAGAGCATGACCCTTCTAATCCCCAATTGTACACCTTAAAATTCAACCAGTATCTTATTTTTAAGCCAGTTTTAAATACTATTGGGGAAACACTGAAAATCAAAAAATTAAATCTAAAATTGTAAGGCCTCTAACTAAGTATTTTGGGTCAGCAATAAACATTCTGCAACTACATATGCTCCTCTGTTGAAATACTCCATGGTAGCTCATATGCTACTCTGATCCAGGTGACCTTGAAATGGGGATGACACATAGCTAAACAGTGAGCAGAACATAGTTTTAATCTTAGAGGCATAGAAAAGTTTTAATTCAGCTACTTTGAAAAGCAGGAAGTAATGGGCTGTATGCAGGAGATATTAACAGAGAGATCCCCCAATGGAAAAGAGCAAGTCCCAGAAAGCCTCACCCATAGACCTGCTCCACTTAGTTTTTGCTGACCTAATCCCAGGCACAGCTTCATTCCTACCTCTCACTGCTTCTCATGGTCTCCATTGCTCTGCCCCCAGGCTCACCTCACTCCAGCCTCCCTTCATGCTGTCCTCACCAAAGCCACTTCTTGTGTGCCAAACCTCTGCATTCTCACTGACATCCTTCCTGTTTCCCGCTGCCCACACTCACATCTCATTCCATCTTGCAAACTCTACAAACCCCCCTCCCTCCCCTGTTGGGCTACACTCTGTGCCAATCTGCCCTCACTGCAAAGATAAATTACTGATGTGGGGGTGGTGGTGGGAAACACACAACCCAAACAAACAAACAAACAAACCCATCCGTTTGTGTGGCAACAGGGGTAGTCTGGAATAAGTAAGCAAGTCCTCAAAATATTCAGATACCATTTTGTGAAATTTCAACAACATCTAAGACAAAACTATTTGTCAAGGTCTGGGTACACCACCTAAAATACAGTAATGCAGGTAAATCCAAACAGGAACTAGAATTTACTGGAAATTTAGATCAGGTTCATCTCTGCCTTTGAGTTTCACGTAAGCACAGAACAAGGGGACAAGAGAAGAGCCCATACCACAGTGCAGTGCTGAGAGTTTGTGACAACACATTTTGTTGTACAGTTCTAAAAGTTACCAAAGATCCACGTGAAGTGGTGCAAGCTGTAAGCAGTAACAATCTCTCATTTACTGATATCTTTAATCTATTTTCTCAGCAGGACTGTGTTTCCAGCAATAACCAGGATAGAAGATTAAGAAAAAATACTGCAGACAGAGCAGCAACAGTTAAGCAGAGCAATTCATTAGAGCCATCTGAAAGTGTGCCCACCAAGCTTCAAAGCACCGACAGAAGGCAAAGCAGCATCATGTTTGCTATGAAAGATCAACAGAAAGGTGAAGAAATTAATTCCATCAAGCTCCATAAACGCAGGAGGAGGTTTATAATTAAAAAGAGCCCAATTCTGATTTCCATGAACAGCTCCATTCTCAACCTGCCCACACTTAAATATGAGGATAGAAACAACAGCAAGTGGAAAAGTCTCTATCAGATCCAAGGAGAAAGGAAGCGGATTATGAGGGAAACTTGTTCAAAATACAAGAGTAATAACAGAAGAATAATCACTCCTTATCATGTGTCTAGAATATTTGTAGAGGATAAATACAGAGTTTTGTACTGTGAAGTGCCCAAAGCCGGCTGCTCTAACTGGAAGCGGGTGCTCATGGTGCTGAACGGGCTGGCCTCCTCCACAAAGGACATCCAGCACAACACCGTGCACTACGGAAACTACCTGAAACGCCTGGATGGCTTTGACCACAAGGGCATTTACCACAGGCTCAGCACTTACACAAAAATGCTGTTTATTCGTGAGCCCTTTGAAAAGCTGGTGTCTGCCTTTCGGGACAAGTTTGAACATCCAAACAACTACTACCACCCGGTCTTTGGGAAAGCCATCATTTCCAGATACCGTGTCAATGCCACCAAAGAAGCACTAAGGACAGGCTCTGGAGTCAAGTTTAAAGAGTTCATTCAATATCTGCTGGATGTACACAGGCCAGTGGGTATGGATATACACTGGGATCACGTCAACAGGCTTTGCAGCCCGTGTTTAATAGACTACGACTTCGTTGGGAAATTTGAAAGTATGGAAGAAGATGCAAACTTTTTCTTGCACTTAATTGGTGCTCCACAAAATTTAACTTTCCCCAAGTTTAAAGATCGTCACTCTAATGAAGAAAGAACTACCACTAAAATTACACAGCAGTATTTTGCACAGCTTTCTCCTTCTCAACGACAACAAAGCTATGACTTTTACTATATGGATTACTTGATGTTCAACTACTCAAAACCTTTTGAAGATTTATATTAATTTGAGGGCCTGGATATTTCCACAGTCACATCAGTTGAATTGTGTGACAAATCCAGGTGGCATCTGTTTATATATACTTACCTGTTAGCAAACAATTGGTTGAAGAGCAGGGAAAAATGCAAACCGGAATATAGACAGATGTTTACACCTTCACCTTAATTGCCTCCTTTTTCAAATCATATTTTTTTCTATAATTTCTCCATATGAAATGTATGTAGATATATGTATAATATGTCAGGGCCCCCAAATAAAGCACAGAATTTTCCAGGCTGGTGTGGCCTGTGTTTGCACTTGGGGGACAGTGTGTTTGAAATGAGGGGAGCACAGCTGGCAATTCTAAAGTGCAGACAGTATTTCAAGCTCTTTACTGTTCAGAAAATAAATCTTTAAGTGATGGAGTAGCAAGAAGGAACATACACTGAGCAATATTTACAGTTTGTTGAAATGTGCAAGGCATGAAGCCATTCACAGGCCCCATGTGTTTGAAGGTGGATGTTGATCACTGTTTCCTGATATTCTTAAGTTAGTCAGGGAGAAAAAGTCTGATCAAACTTACACTGTTCATAAAGACACTGGTGAAAACAACTAATACCTAATGACCATGTGAGAGCAGTATTAAACCAGATGTTGCAATTCAGAGCGAGGATGTGTTCTCCCCCTTCAATATTTCCCTTATGGCACGTTCATCTGCAAAAAGATAAAATGCAGGCGAACATTTGCATCTTTATAAGTGTTATTAAAATTCTTTTAATCCTTTGCATTAACATAAATCTCTGGTTTAATCTTCATAGTCACCAGGAATATCAAATCTTTCCATCATAATAACAAGCAAGAATAAATGCCACTTCCTGCCCAACAGGGTAGTTCTTTTCATTGCTGCAAACAATTTGCACTTGCTTATTTTAGTAACAATTATATCTGACTTAACATGCAAAAAATATTCCAGGTGTTTTAGTTCAATTTCTGTGCTTGAGAGGACAGAGTGTCTTGTGAGAATAAAATACTTGACATTCCACTAGTTACAGTCTCTAATCACAGAATATTCTGATTTGGAAGTGACCCACAAGAATTCTTAAGCCAAACTCTCAAGTGAATGGCTCATACAGGAATCAAACCCACCCTTGGCATTATCAGCACCAACTGAGCCAGTTTCAGCTCTGTAAATTGTCACTCAAATTCTGTATACAGAACCCTTTTTAACAAGTCATTTATCCACTTGACATGATATTTAAACTGGCCATACTGGAGCAAGGATCAAACTCCATCACAATGCCAAACCTGGACTCCCCAGTGACTTCTAGAGTTTGTGTTTCACAACCACATTCCACCACACCTGAGGAACAATGCTTGTTCTAATCTGTTTCCAGGTTCAGATCCTTGTGTGAATAGTTTCATGCATCACAAGAACTGGCATTAGAGTTTCCCCAGAAGCACTCAGTATATTTTTTGGGTTTTAAAAATTTTAATAGGGAAAAAAATTGTTTCAAAAGACCTTGTAGTAAAAGCTTCACTGACAAATACTTTACATATCACGGCTGACATCACATTTTCCATTTTTGTTCAGAGAAAAATTGGTTGCATTAGAAAAGTAATGTGGAACTTTCACTGTTCCATGAAACCAGTTACCCTTCCCTGCCTGCCCATGCTCCTGCCTTTCAATCACTGCCTTTCTGCTGCAGCAGCCCCCCACCCATCTCACTTTTCCACCCACTCAAAGGTTTGTTGGTCTGTTCACATGACTGAAGAACAGACTTTATTTTCAAAGCAACGTTTCTGCTGGTCCAGCTGGGATCAGCAGTAGCAGGCTGGGGTCTGTTAGCTCAGAGTGCCCAGCCTACAGCCTCAGCAACAGGAGCATCCAGGGGAAAACAAGGCAAGGGATCACTTCCTCGTGCAGCTGGAGCAGATTCTGATAGTGGTGGGAATCCTTGGAGGGTGGATTGGGGTGTGAGGAGTCATAGCCAAGACCATCACTAGGACTTTAAGTGAAGCCACCCTGAGCATTTAATGGTATTTAGTGCTCTGAGAGGTGATGGTGCTCTGATTGATGCAACAAGTGGTCTGTACTACAGTCACCAACACCAGGAGAGGACATGTTGCATATTGCAGCCCTCCTGGGCTTTTTCAGGGTCTGACCCTGCCAGCAGGTCAGGGTACCAGAGCTCGGAGTGCTGAGCTCCTTCTGCTCAGCAGGTGAGCTTCCACTGGGAAAAGAATCCCAGAAGAATCTCAGCTCATCTTGCTGCAGCAAAGGGAACAGGCAGAGTCATGGCTCAGCTCTGTGAGGCTACCAGAACAAAGCTGGGCATCATTTGTATTCACACCTCTGCTAGTTTAGAGCACTCTACGGGCAAGATTGGGGGGCTTAACCCTTCAGCTGGATTCACATCAAAAACCTGACTCTCCTTCTTCCTCCTGCCTCCTCCCAGTTCCTTTTCAGCTTAATGTACACACCCACATAAATTCATACAGTCACATTTACATCTGAAAGGCTTGGCACATTCCCAGATCAGCAAGTGCTCACTGTATGAGTGAAAAAACCCAGCAATACCAGTGCAAAATTGCACTTCTGATTGTATCAAACCTGTACTTTACCTACCACTGTCCCCTCCATATCTACCTTAATTAATTTACAGTAAAAGGTAACAACAGGAAAGTTACATTTTTAATGACAAATGAAGGTGAAGACTTTGACAGGTTTTATTTTGTCTGGGATAACAAGCACTTTTTAAACAAAAACTGATCAATGATTTGCATGTTTATAACAAGCTGTATATGGCACAGCAGTATCTGGTTTACAGTTTCTCAAGGAAGACAGAAGCACCCTTCTAATACTCACAGGTAATTAATACTAGGCAGTTGCATTAATTTGGCTCTGTTACTTTCAGCTCTTAGTCCCTGCTGAGTAGTGTAAACAAGGTAACAAGTGGTTTTAAAGGAATGTCTGTAAAGATGCCTTTTAAAGCCAGAAGAAAAGCAATATCTTGAACAAAAAAAATCCAAGGCAGCAGACAAGTAAACTAATATTTTCATGTCAAGCAAAATTTTTAAGTAAAAAGCAATAATTTTGACAAGATTGTAGTAAGTTTTCAGATCGCTTATTTCCCTTTGGATTGTCTTGTCCTTTTTTTCCCCGCATATAAACTCTTGGCATTTTCATTTCAATGCAATTTAATTTTTTCAGAGGTGTTCATTCTGAATTGATTCCCATATTTTATCCTTCTCCTCATAGAGAAATATTTCATTTTTTATGGAAAGTGGAAATCATAGACTGTACAAAAAAATCCCATTTTCAAACAAACAGTCTAGCTCAGAGGTCAGCCAAGCTAAATCTTAGACTAAATAATTTTGTCAATCCAATTGGTTTTTAACTTCAGAGGTAAGGACCCAGCCAGAGCAGTCACAGCAGGTGAGGTGTGAAGGTACAGAAACAACAGAACAGAATCTCCCCCCATACTCCTCAAAGTGGTCTAAAGCCTATAGCAGCAAAAGAGATTAACACAGACACAAAAACAAATTGTGGAAACTAAGTGTCCACTTTATTATCTGCTTTTGCAGAGTCTGAAACTGAAGACAGCAATAATATTTTAATTAGGGGATAATTTAAGAATTTGATATTGGGGTGCTCTGTAAGTGAAATTCATTGAGATCTAAGCAAAGTCATGTTCTTGAGACCTTTGTGTACCCAAAAAAGTCATCCTTGCAATGTGCACAAACTGAGCGATGGTGATTGCTGGGGTCTTTATCCTTTAAGTCCCCCCACTATCATATGTACCTACCATGGCTGACCTCATACCAGAAGGGCCAGTTTATGGGGGCTTATGCCTCCAAAAATAAAGGAATCAAGATATTAAAATGAGTTTTCTTAACTCCTTATATCCATAACTTTTCAGAATTTCCATGATGGGGTTCCACTGCTTTCTTGCATAACAATCACTGATGTTTGAGCACATCAGACTGCACAATGTCAAAAGAGAATATGAATTGAGGACAGGAGTTCACTCTTTTTTTGCCACAATTTGGACTCAATGATCTCAGAGATCTTTTCCAACTTAACTGATTCTGCAATTCGGTTTGTTGGTTTACAGCTCATCTTATATAATGATTGAAGTAAAGAGTTTTTAAAGTTTTTTAATTGTAGGTACTGAATTCTGGTGATTCCCTTCCTCCCCTGCCTCATTTGAGCAACTTACTGAGAAAATCCACTCTTTGGATGATCAGAGTATCTTTTTTGAGAGAGAGGGATACACAGAGTAAGGGAGAGCTGCACACATGGACTGCATGCACTGCACTGTACTTGAACTGAATCCCATTTCTTTGCACTACTTTTCCTGTTTGGGCAACACCATTAATGACAGCAAGAGCACACCTGTGACAAATCCATGTACAATTATCTGCTTATGTACACCCAGATAAAGTACCTAGGAGAAAACCCTATGCCAATAGCATTATACATACTCAGGCACCTACAAACTTGCAAATGCATGGAGGGAGATATAATGTCCAAAAATTAATTAGAAAATTAGTTCAATGTATATAAAACATCTGCGTTGGTTTTTACATAGTTGGTTTTAGTGTCTTTGTACAAATTAATTTGTCAGGCCAACTCAACTGGTACCACATTACCAGGAATGAACAGATAAAAAGGGAACTTTCTTTTCTGATGTTGTTTCTCTTAACCATGGTTGCTATCTTGATATAAGTTGCTGACATTGAGATGTTCTTTTCTCAACAAGAAATCACAGAAGTAGCTGGGCAGATTTGGAAGACATTGGATAAATCCCAGCCTCACCATTTCCATTTCACTGACTCTGGAACATATCTGCATGCAGCACCAGTTTGTTTTCAGAGCACAAGATGAGAGGCAAGGCTGAGCACAGCCTGTTTGAGCTGATACTGCTTCAAGGGATGATTGTCAGGTTGGCATTGTTATGTGTGGGGATTTCAAAGCCTCAGCATGCACCTGCACGCTCCTGAATAATGACTTGGGAAGTGTCCCA